CAGCGGGCTTTCTGCCCCGGCATCACAAAGAACAAGTTTGTCATTGGTAAGCAGGTTGCCATGATGGTGGTTATGCAGGGTTTGTCCATTGACGGTAAGAATGGTGGGATAGGAAAGTCGGCTATTGGCTGCCAAGGCTACGGCTTCCACACGGGCGGCTATTTCATATTCATAAATGCCTGGACGCGCAAACTGCATACCTGCCAGGTGCATGGCTTCGCTGATAGCGACCGCTTTGTGCAACGCTTCCACCTCCACAGCTTCTTTAATTTCCCGTTGTTGTATGACCGCTTTGATCAGCCGTTCCGATACATACTTGGTCAAACCTGCAACCGGGGTTTCCAGCCAGGCGGCAAGCAACAGCATGTTTTCAGGGCGATAAGGTGGTAAGAGCAGTATGGGCAATCCGCTTTTCTGCCTGCTTGCGAGATAGGTCGTTATTTCCTGATAAGGTCTGACCTCTTTAATGCCGGTGGCAGCAGCCTGTTCTTGTAGCGAAGGCAACGGCCCTGTCCAGATAATATCATCCAGGCCGGGCTCATTGCCAAAAATAATCTCCTGACCAGTAGCTGTATCCAGCACCAGTACCAGCTCGGGCAAATCAAGGCCGGCATAATACAGGAAATTGCTGTCCTGCCGGAAGGGGTAATGATTATCGGCATAATTCATGCGGCTCAGCTCATTGCCAGGTAGCAGGATAATACTGTCGGGTATTCTGATTGCCAGTTGTTTTCTTCTTTGGGCATAAACGTCCCGTTCAAAAATAGTCGGTTCCATAATCTGATATTGAGGCACGTCAAACTTACGTATCTTAAAGGTATTCCTTCTCAATGTCTAAGTCGCTCAATAAGTCTGCAGGTGCGAATGGATTCGCCATTGAGCTTGTAAGAAAGACCACTCTTGCTTTGTCTTCGGATTTTGCCCATTCAATAATATCTTCCAATTGTTTATCCCCGTGATGTGAGATTGGCGAACGCGATTGTTATTATGAAGCATGAAGATTTCTGAACACTACGGTTTTATACGATTATTTATTTAAGTTGCCCTGCTCAGCATAATCAGGTGTTTGCATTGGATCCCGTTTTCAAAAAGGGGAGTATCATAATTGGTGGTAAAGAAATCTTTCCTGATTGAAGAAATCTCGAACCCCATTTTCTGATAGAGGTATAATTGTCCGATACTTGAATTGGCGGTGCCGATACAAATGATTTTGAAGCCCGCTTCTTGGGCCACCTGAATTGCGTGCGTGAGCATAAGTTGCCCGATTCCTTTTCCCTGGTAGCTA